CATTTGAAAAATCAAAGTTGCTACTGCTTTCTAATAGAAGCGGCAACACCGCATTGTCGAAAATATTTTAGTTGGCTAGAGAATGTCCGAATATGCCCTCCATTAAATTTTCAAAGTGATCCGTTGTCTGGTTCACCAGAAACGTCTAATGTGCCATCCACCGTGAATCAGCCTGTATATTGAAAAATAGTTCATGAACAAAAACTAATTTTTGAAATTGCCTTTTTGAACTACACGATTACAATTTCAGATTGTACAAGCTGGCTTGTCGATTTTTTTGCTTCAGTGTTTTAATTTTTTTAATGATAGAAAAAGACGAAAGATTTTTTTCAGGTGTTTCATATACACTTGAATTTGGTTTTATGACATTTTTGTCATAATTTTTTTTCAAATACGGATGTGTATTTTCTCTGAAATTTAAATTATCTAAAAGAACAGAACGAATAGACAACAAGTTATTGCTCAAGGTAGTACTCGAGTAATATTCTCAACAACTTTTTAAAAAACTATAGTTTCCAATCAGAATCAGCTTCCTTTGTCCATGATTACCGGACTAGCTTAATATTAAGCTTGCAAAGCATGTTGCAATACAAAATAGCTGTTTCGAAGGCCTTTGCTGCATTTTTCTAGCACCATTTCACAAGCGTAGCTGGAAGATGTTCTATTGCACACTGCGAGATCTTGTTCTTTACTTGCACAAGGATGAGAATGGTTTCAAGAAAAATCAAATGGGTGACAATCTTCACAACGCCATCAGAATACATCATGCTCTTGCTACCAAGGCTACGGATTACACCAAGAAGCAGTTTGTCTTCAGGTTGCAGACTGCAGATCAAGCAGAATATTTATTTCAGACAAGGTAAGGCCATTCATTATAATCGGACTAACTATTACTTTTTTCTTCATGCTAACATAGTCACAAACTAATATGTTGTTCATTCAAGTATCACTTTATTGTGTGATTTTCACTTAACAGTTTACAAAAGCTCAACATGTTTTTTTCACTATATAGTAGCTTCTTCAGGCGTATTAATGTAGGATATTCACGTTAAGAAGAGAATGACGTCACAAGATGACAATTTACGGCGTTGCCAACATATGCACTATTTGGAACTTTAAAATTGTTTTGTACTGTTTTATTGCTATTAACCTTACTTACTATTAACTTACTTAGTTGAAATACAATTAGAGTGGCACTTCACCTTTTTTTTTGTATCAACGATAAACATTATAAATGCGTTGTTTTGTTCGACTTTTACTTACCTTGAGTAAAAGCAAGAATGATTTCTGCTAATTCAGATCGCCTTCGTTGCCCACTTTGTCTACTGTCATCTACAGTGTCACCGATAAAGTCCGCATCAAATGGGAAACTTTTTTATTTATCGTTTTATGTGAAATTTGATTTTGGCAGTAGATTTTGCTTAAGAAATGATGTCGAATGGCGTCTACAAAATAGGTCACGTGATTTCCTTAACCTGTCAAAATTGACATTTAAAAAAAGAAACATCGAAAAATGACATTATTCTTCAA